CTCTCTCTCTCCCTCTCTCCTCCCTCTCCCTCCCTCCCTCCCTCTCTCCTCCCTCCCTCTCTCTCTCTCTCTCTCTCTCTCTCGCTTTCTCTCACTCTCGCGATGAGAAATCTGTTGTTTTTCCCTGTGACATTTTCAGAGGTATGCATGTGTTCGATGTTTTCTTTTCTCTATATTGTTATAGTGGGGTGTTTATTTGTAATCCGGGTCGCCGCCAGTACGAAAGGAAAACGGATCTTACGCTATAAATTATAAGTTTGCTCCCAAAACGATATTTTAAAAATATTTAACAGGTAAAATTAACATCATATTTATATTCCACATAGTTTTCTAATAAAATTTCATATATAATATGTTAAAATCGAAGTTACGGTTTAAAAGATACGGATAATTTAGAAAATCATTTATTTGACTTAAATATATTCCAAAATAATATTTAAAAATACTTAACAGGTGAAAATAATCTCATATTCATATTCTACATATTTTTCTAATCAAATTTCATATACAACATGTTCAAATCGGAGTTACGGTTTAAAAGATATGGATGATTTAAAAAAACATTGTTTGACTTAAATATGATCCGTGGATGAATTACCTAAAACATCAGGGGGGTTTCGAAAAATGTAAAATAACGGTTCGGGTGTGACTTAAATCCGGACTGCGGGTTGATTTCAACAAAATATAGGGACTTTTGTGTAAAATATTAAAAACAGATTCGTTTTAACTTAAAACAGGACTGCGGGTTGAATTCTCTGAAATAGAGGGACTTTTCTGACAAATGCCATGACGGACGAAAGAAACACGATTTGCTTTATTATTAGGTAAGATAAAGATTTGCATTCAACCAGACGGCCAAAGACGTGGGATGCATGGGCAGCTATCATGGATGTACGTACATACAGTGAGAAGAAGAATATGGAATGCGTCTTGTTAGACTATGCTTTGGTCTACTGTTGAACTTGGTGTTACCGGTCAGAGATGGTCGTACGCTCCACGTACCCACCGCCCTTGCATGGCGCATGCAAGGCTGTTAGCCGCACTCTATCTTCCCATCGATCTAGGATCGATTGTTAGTCTGTTTACGTGCGTGTGTATCTCTCTCATGTACTCTATTATATATTACCCACTGTGGATGAATACAAGTATGTGATGCATTGCAACCCCTAGTCTATCTTCTATCATGGTATCAAAGTGCTACTTTCGAAATAATGCATTGTGATCTCTGGACAGCTCCCATCTTCAGTGTTTCTGGCAACAAATACTACTTTATCATCATCGACGATTACACTAAATACCGGTGGACGTTTCCTCTTGTCCTTAAGTCCGACGTGCATGCTATTTTTTGTTCATTTCATGCTCTTGTTCGCACCCATTTTCATCGCATTATCGCCACGTTCCAATGCGACAATGGCCGAGAGTTTGACAACGCTAGTAATCGTGACTTCTTCCTTCCTTTTGGTACGACCATGCGTTTCTCGTGTCCTTACACGTCTTCACAAAATGGCACTACTGAGCGTGCTATTCGCTCCACTAAAGACATTGTACGGACCCTTCTAATTCAAGCCAACATGCCGCCTAAGTACTGGGCTGACGCCCTCTCTACTGCCACCCATCTTCTCAATCTTCGGCCAACCAAAATCCTTCTCTGATCTACTCCTCACGAGGCTCTTTTGTCTCAACCTCCTACGTATGATCACCTTAGCGTTTTTGGATGTCTTTGTTTTCCCAACATGTCCGCCACAGCCGCCCACAAGTTGGCACCGCGGTCGACGGCGTATCTCTTTCTTGGATATCCTATGGATCACAAAGGCTACCGCTGCCTTGATCTCTTTATACACCGGGTTCATATCTCTAGGCACGTTGTTTTCGACGAGACCGTTTTCCCGTTCGCTAGTCACCCTCCTACGAAACCCTCTGTTGCTAATCTTTTTCCCGATCTACCAACCGGCCCAAGTTTCCCAACTAGCCCCCTCCCACCATTTCTTCCTGGCCCGGTAGCACAACCAGAACGTCCCGCTTCGTCCGCTCGAGCGGCCATCCCATCCTCCCCCATCTCCTCTACGGATGTTGCCACACCAGCCACTACGCCTAGCCCTTGCTCCCAGCCTAGTTCATCTAGCAAACCCAACCCAATGTCTTCCACACCCAGCCCTGCCTTGGCAAGTCCTGTAGGACCGGCGGCCTCGTCAGCTCCCGCGCCGGCTAGCGCTAGTCCTTCCCAACCTAGCACGCCTCCATGACCCCTACCGCCCCATGCAGTCGATGTTCAACCCCCTGCTAACCCGCATCCCATGCGTATGCGTGCTAAATCCTGGTTTACCATTCCCTCTCACAAACTTAACTTTCTTGTCGACGCTCCTAACATTTCCCCCTACCTCGCACTTACCGTGCCGCCCTTGCCGACCCTAACTGGGTTGCTTCCATGACTGATGAGTATCAGACACTCCTTCAGAATGACACTTGGACACTTGTTCCCCGTCCTGTTGGCTCTCATGTCGTCAGCGGGAAGTGGGTTTTTCGTGTCAAGTATCATTCCGATGGAACCCTTGCGTGCTACAAAGCACGTTTGGTTGTCCGTGGTTTTTCTCAGACTAAGGGGATCGACTACGATGAAACCTTCTCACCAGTCGTTAAGCCTAGCACCATCCGTGTCGTTCTCACTCTCGCCATCTCAGCCTCTTGGCCCATTCACTAGCTCGATGTCAAGAACGCCTTCCTCCACGGTCACTTAGCCGAGACTGTCTACTGTCAGCAGCCTCTCGGGTTCGAGGATCCTACTGCATGTTGACACGTGAGTCCCCTTTGTAAATCTCTCTACGGTCTTAAGCAGGCCCCGGTGCGCCTAGTTCACTCGCTTCACCGCCTTCCTAGTGACTATAGGATTCACCACCTCTAGGTGCGACACCTCCTTGTTTATCTACCGTCCTCGAGTCACACTGCCTATCTCCTCTTATATGTCGATGATATCATACTAACTGCGTCATCCTCCAGTTTTCTTCAGTATGTCATTACACGCCTTCGACAGGAGTTTGCCATGACTGATCTGGGATCTCTCTCGCACTTTCTCGGAGTCTCTGTTACCCGCTCTTCCTCCTCCCTTTTTCTTTCGCAACGGCAATATGCGCTCGACATTATCCAGCGTGCTGGCATGTCCGAGTGTCATATTATTCGTACCCCCATCGATTCCGGAGCCAAGCTTTCCGTTAACAACGGCGACCTTCTTGACGCTGCTGATGCTACCACCTACCACAGTCTCACCGGTGCTTTGAAGTATCTCACTATCACACACCCCAATCTATCTTACTCAGTTCAGCAGGCGTGTTTGTTCATGCATGCGCCTCGCACCTCCCACCTTAACCTTGTCAAACGCATAGTTCGGTACGTTAAGGGCACTTTAGATTTCGGTATGCACATCACACCTTCCACCTCCACCTCTCTTGTTGCGTACTCCGATGCCGATTGGGCTGGCTATCCCGACACTCGTCGTTCCACGTCTGGTTACTGCATTTACTTTGGGGATAATTTGGTTTCGTGGTCATCCAAGCGACAGCTAACTGTTTTCAGGTCCAGTGCGGAGGCTGAGTATCGCGCCGTCGCTCATGCTGTTGCCGAAACTACATGGCTGCGGCAACTTCTGCAGGAGCTTCACCAGCCAGTGTCCAGATCCACTGTTGTCTACTGTGACAACGTGTCTGCTGTCTACATGTCTGCTAACCCTGTGCAGCACCGCCGTATGAAGCATATCGAGATTGACATTCACTTTGTGCGTGACAAGGTTTCGCTTGGCTAGGTTCGGGTTCTGCATGTTCCCACTTCTTCGCAGTATGCTGACATTTTCACCAAAGGGTTGCCAACCACGCTCTTTGCTGAATTTCGATCCAGTCTCAACTCTCAACGTCCGGCAAGCCCACGTTGACACTGCGGGGGGCTGTTAGACTATGCTTTGGTCTACTGTTGGACTTGGTGTTACCGGTCAGAGCTGGTCGTACGCTCCACGCACCCACCGCCCTTGCATGGCGCATGCAAGGATGTTAGCCGCACTCTATCTTCCCATCGATCTAGGATCGATTGTTAGTCTGTTTATGTGCGTGTGTATCTCTCTCCCTCTCTCTCATGTACTCTATTATATATTACCCACTGTGGATGAATACGAGTATGTGATGCATTGCAACCCCTAATCTATCTTCTATCACGTCTAGTGCAGTGTAGTGCATGGACAAAAGATATGGCACGCCGGCTTGCATGGATTTGCACCAAAGCATAGCCTACATACATACATACATACATACATACATACATACATACATACATACACCAGTTTAATTTGGATATGTCATACTCCTACAAGCTAGTATTAAAACGCTTGATACATCAGTTTTGCCCTGAATATATGAGTGTCTTTATTTATTCTTTTCGGATCATGCATGATAATACTTCTTCTGACACCATTTGGCCATGGGATTCATTCAGGTGGAGTGAGTGATCTCTGTTGGTGGTGTGGTGTACGAACTGCTTGAGTGTTGCATCGTGTTTTTATATAGTAAATGTGCGTGTGCGTTGCATGCAGTGAGTGATTTGATTTTGGTGGTGCTCCATCCTCAAGTGAAATTCATGGGTGCTCCTCCTCCTCCTCATCTATCTTCTACGGAGTAAGTACTACTTTACTTCCCATCAAGATGGAAATAAAAACTTATACTTTACCTGTCGACAGAGAGAGCACCTTGTCAAACAAACTTTGTCCAAGCGTCTTTTTCTTTGATTAGCCTCCTTAATCGCCACACAATATCTACATGCTAGCTAGGTTGAGATTAGGTTTGAATTCCTCCAAATTCCTTCTTCCTTTTCCCTATCCCCCACCCCACCTCAATATTCCCTCCCTTGCCCTCCAACCAAACAAACAAAAATTAACCTTGCGGCACAGCCCATCGTTAAGGCAGGTGGTGGGCCGGCCCAATTGGCCCAATCTATGTATCTGCCGTGTGTGGGTGTGGGTGTGGATGTGTGGGTTGTTGGTTGGTCGTCTTCCCTCAGCCGCTCGCTCGTTTCTCTCTCTACAACCCACGGACAAGGAAAAAAGGGCCGCCGTCGTCGTCGGTAGGTCCCCCAATCCAGTGACTCAGGGCAGGGCAGGCCAGGTCAGGTCAGGTCAGGTGGTGATGGCGTCCAGCCTCGCCGCCGCCCCTTCTCCGGCTCCGGCCCCGGTCAGGTTGGGCTGCTCCCTCCAGCTCCACCTCCTCCTCCGCCGCCCCGCCCTACTTGTCTTTCCCAAAGTCGGACGCCCCCACCTCCGACTCCGACTCAGAGCCCAAGCCTCCCCTTCCCCCTCTCCTGAAGCCGAAGCCGGCGACTCCTTCGCCGGCTGGTCGGACAAGCAGGATGCTGATTCTGATTCAGGAGGTAGGTATCCCCTTTCCCTTTCTTTCTTTCTTTCTTTCTTTCTTACTATATTAGTACTTAGATAGATAGCTAGCTAGTAATAAGTAGTAGTATAAACCAGATAGGATAGGACTCACTTGATTTTATTTTATTTTATTTGATTTGGAACAACAACAACAACAACAAGAAAGAAGAAAGAAGCAAGAATCAAGAAGAAGAATGCCAATTTCACCTTCCCCATTACAATTACATTACTACTCCAGTATAAATAGTACTAGTAGTACCTTCTCATTCTCTCACTACTCACCTCAATCAAATGCAAATGCAAATGCAAAAAATGCAGGCCTTGTTGGACCTGCCCTTGCTGGCCTCCTCTTCCTCGCCGGCATCACATTCGCCGCTATCTCACTCAGACCCACAGGTACGTAATCCACTGCACACCCCCAACCCAAATGCACTTCACTTCACTTGTTCTGGATCATGCCCAAATCTTCTCCTTCCTTCCTTCCTTCACTCACTCACTCTCTGCCATTTCTTTCTCTTTCTATATATAATATATATTTGCAGGATCAAAGGCACCCATCCAAACCTTTTTGCCCACACACACCGAGACAAAGGCTGATACTACTCCTGAACAACAACAACAAGACGACGACGACGACGCTGCTGCTGCTGCTCAGGCTTTGTCACCAGCCGATGATATCCTGGATGCCACCAGTGAGGCAACACCGTTGCCTAATAATCTACAAACACACGAGACAATACCCGAGGCCGAGGGAGCAGCTCAACATGCCATGGACAACAACTACCAATTGGATCTGGATCGCAGCAGCAGTGACCTAGATCCGACAACTCATAAATACATTGCTTCACAAGATGACACTCAAACTCCTCCTGTGTCTCATTCACCTCAATCTTTGCTCCCTGCTTATGATCCAACCTCTCAGGAGGCAACTCCTGACCCACAGGCTGAGGCATTGTTATTGGACTCTCAACCCAGTTTGCCAGAAAACCAGGATACTTTCACTTCAGATATTATGGTGCTGGAATCTGGTGATGTTGTGCAAATATCCGACACTCTGGCTGAGCCTACACATTTACAAGACACTGAGCAGAATACTCAACTTTCAACTCAAGATGGAATTTCTTCTGCATCCACTTTTCCTGATTATGTACCATATGGAAGCACTGACCAGATGCTTCCATCGGGCTCAAATGACTTACCCACTCAAGATGCTAACCCAGCAAAGGCGATACAAGACCCAGCATCAGACCAGGATGAAGGCCAAAATGAGTCAGATAACCAAAATGAACTGTTCAAGCCTGCAGCACCTGCCACATCTTTCTCTTCCGGAATTCCTGCCCCCTCTCTGCTCTCTGCAGCCTTACAGGTGCCTGCTGGCCAGATTGTGGTTCCAGCGGCAGTTGACCCTACCCAGGGAAATGCATTGGCCGCGCTGCAAGTTCTAAAGGTATTTCTTTTTTCACATGTATTCAGTTCAGCGTCTCTTTTCCTTTTTCAGGAACACCATTCATTGTTTCTTACATCTCCTGGATAAGGGTTCTTGTTAGATCAAGCATCATTCACTAGTTCTATAATTTTATACAAATGGAAAAGCTCTTTGTAGCCCTGAACCTATATTATTGGCTTCCTCGTCAGGGTTTTGAGCTTATAGTGACTTCTGTTTCTAGATAAGTTAAACTACCCTATTATATGTTGCGTCATGCCTTGCTGCTTTCGCTGAAATCGTTACAACTTTCTCTAGGGAAAACCCCCATCTCATTTGCACAACGTAAACTGTAGTATGGGGCTCATTGTTACAGAGACAACTTACTGAATACACCCTCTAGGGAATTATATGGAATTCTTTGTTCAAATTTTATTCTCTTTCTAGGTGATTGAGCCTGACGCTCGAGCTGGTGATTTGTGTACCCGACGTGAATACGCTCGATGGTTGGTAGTTGCAAGCAATGCCCTTTCGAGGTACATACTTCTCCTTGATGCATGTTCACCTTCCGGATATTGCTGCATTCTGCTTCTGTTTTTGTTCCTTGAGGGCAAATCCCAAGTCTCATTTGTGTCTTTTGAATGATTCACCCTCTTGCTTATTTATTTGAGTAATGTTGTATCACTGGCTTATTTCTTACTGCTAGCTGTTTCTGTGGATATTGCCTGTTACAGAATAGAAATAAGAAGTAATGGCAGGAGTTCACTTTTTTTTCCCCTGTAAATCCAATCTGGCCTCCTAAGTGATTTCTTTCATTTAACCAGTTTATTATTGATCTGGTTTGCAACCGCAGGAACACTTACTCAAAAGTTTATCCAGCAATGTACATTGATAACGTGTCTGAACTTGCATTTGATGACGTCACCACTGAAGATCCTGATTTTCCATTTATACAAGGTGAGAAATAGAAATATTGTTCAGGACAAAATTCATCCTTACTTACAGTTTATCTTGTGTATGCAAGCGTGAGTAAATCATCACTATTAAATTTTTGTCTCATTTATGTAAATGTACCCTCAGGATTGGCAGAAGCAGGGTTAATTTCTAGCAAGCTCTCAAGATCCGATATGGACGTTGCTGAAAACGTTGAGAACAACCATTACTTTTTCTCCGCGGATAGGTAATGGTCCTCTTCCACGCATCCACTTGACTTGTGTGTTGTATGTGTGCGTGCGTTTGTTGTGTCTAGCTACTAATCAGCTGTCCTTGTTTCAGTCCCTTGTCACGTCAAGACCTTGTGAGTTGGAAGATGGCTTTGGATAAAAGGCAACTACCTGAAGTTGACAAAAACGTAAGAATATAAAAAAGTTAATACCTTTCATAATTATCTGTCTTGAAACCATCTGGTTATGCTGATATCAGCACTCTCTGCATGACCAGTCTTTGTACAAGACATCCGGCTACATAGACATTGATAAAATTGACACAGCTGCATGGCCTGCATTGGTAGCTGACTTGGGTGCTGGAGACCAGAGCATCACAGCTCTTGCATTCGGTAGGCTTTCTTTTTATTTATTTTTACTGACTTTTGGCTCATGGACGGTCGCTAAAACTCTCTTGTTAAAGGTTTTACAAGGCTTTTCCAGCCAGACAAACCTGTGACAAAAGGACAAGCTGCCCTAGCACTTTCAACTGGTGACTATGCTGAAGTGGTTATGGAGGAGCTTGCTCGTATTGAAGCAGATAAAATAGCTGAAGCGGCTGTGAATGCTCATGGTGCATTGGTAGCTGAGGTTGAGAAACAAATCAATTCAAGTTTTGAAAGAGAGCTTACGAGGGAAAGAGAAAAAATTGAGACCCTTGAAAAACTGGCTGAAGAAGCTAGGTTTGAATTGGACAAGTTGAGAGCAGAAAGAGAGGAAGAAAAGAATGCTCTGCTTAGGGGCAGAGCTACCGTTGAATCCGAAATACAAGTTCTTTCAAAGTTGAGGTGTGAAGTAGAGGAGCAGCTGCAGAATGTGCTGAGCAAGAAGGTTGAGATCAACTTTGAGAAGAACAGAATTGAGAAACTTCAAAAGGAAATTGAAAATGAAAACCAGGCTGCTGTGCAACTTCAGTATGAGCTTGAAGTTGAAAGGAAGGCTTTGTCTATGGCCAGGTAATAATTTTTTGCGATACCTGAGATTTCTTGTGCATTAAATTTGTTTGGTGATACACTAAACCTACCTATCTCTAATTTCATGCTAGTTTCTCCTCTAGCTGATTTATTTATAGAGTACATCTTACTGCCACCATGCATCAAATCAAATTGACAAATACACACATGTTGAACAACCAGGGCTTGGGCAGAGGATGAAGCAAAGAAGGCCAGGGAGCATGCTCGCGCCCTTGAGGAGGCCCGGAACCAGTGGGAGCGGCAGGGAATCAAAGTTGTCGTCGAGGCAGGGCTTGAGGAGGATGCATCGGCCGGGGTGACATGGGCTAATGCTGGCAAAGAACACCCAGTTGACGAGGCAATCAACCGGGCGGAGTCGTTGCTGGAGAAGCTCAAGTCGTTTGGTGGTGAGATGAAAGTCCGATCCAGCCATGCCCTGGAGAGAGTAATGCAGTACGTGAGGTCCTTGATCTCAAGCCTAAAGCAGCGAGCGGCGGAAGCAAGGCAAGGGTGCGCAGATCTTGGGGCTGCTGCAGCCTCAAAGGCAAAGAATGTGTCATCAGAAGCCAAGGCGTTTGGTTCAAGCGTCGGGGACAGGTCGAAGAAGGTAGCGGAGGAGTGCAAAGATGGTCTGGACAAGTTTGTGCACAGATTCAAGGCAGACTAGCTGGTGATAAAGAAAGCTTCATGCCTTGTGTACCCGTGACACCAGTGAATTGATAGCCGAAGAAGAGAGAGGAGCCATAGGAAGGAAGGAAGGAAGGAGGAATAAAGTTTGAGACACACATTTGCGTGATGCTGTAATGCAATGTAATGTAATGTGTAGTACATTTTGGGTGTTGTTGTAAATGAATATGAATATGAATATACTGGAGCTGGCTTAGCAGAGGTTCCATTGGAATAATAAGGCCGTTTGCTCTGTGTATGGTACGTTACGTTAATGAAATCAAACTCGAGTTTTGTTGAGTAAATGGCATCACCTGAAACATTTTTTGAAATCTATGTATTTTTTTTACATATTTATTTATTTCATCTAAATTCATGAACTAGTTGTAGAGCGACACTTTATAAACGGACAGGGACTCTTGTAAAGATTGCCTGAAGAAGATTCAACTTTCAAGAGAGACTAGCTGCTGGTAAAGAAAGCTTCATGGCTTGTGTATGAGAGACCAAACAATTTACAGCCCAAGAGAGGAGAACCATAGGAATACATTTTTGGCGTTGTTGTGAATGAATATACTGAAGCTGGAACCTGGAATCGTATGCCTGTTTCGCTTTGTACCGTAATGAAACATCAATTTTGTTGAGTAAATGCTGTAACATCGCATCACTCTGGTTGAAACAAAATACTATTGCTTACTCACTCCATGCTGAAATGTACTCCGATCCATAAAAATGTAAGGCGTGACTTTTGTACACAAGAAGATTTACAGCGCAAACATCAAGGTTCTTGTTCCTTATTTCTTTCTTTCATCCCACATGGATGGTACTTGTTTTAATCCCAACAGTCCGGTAAATGTGTGTAGGAATGTGTTCAGAGCTTGGATGCTGGGTTCAAGCGCGCCTTCAGTTTGAAGATGAGCTGATGAACTTGATCAAAATGAGGGCTGGTGGCCTTCTTCACATTCTCCATCCAAGCACGAACCTTCTCATGAGGTCCCAGAATTCTGTCACGTCTCTCGTCACCAACAACCTGCAACACGACAACGCCTAACTTTGAGAAACTCTACTTGAGCACACATCTTCTTACAGTTACAGGAGACAAAAACACAAACACAGATACATACCTCCAGCTGCATTATCTCGCACACAAGGCTGAGGTCTGCGATGGATGGCTGGGGGTTGCCATTCAAGAATTTGGCATCGCCTTTGAGCCACACGGTTTCGATCGTTCCCAGTGATCGTGACAGCAACTTCTCGGCCTCTTTTGCAGCCTCAGGACTGGGTGTGAGGCCGAGAGCAGGACCCAACGCGGTGTGCAGTACATAGGTTGCTGCATTGCAAGGATCCATCAATCTCTCGAATAAAATGCTATGCAAGGATGAAATGCTATGCAAATTTATTTGGTCATCATTCAATCTAGAGTGGTATGTGCAAGTAAGCTTAGAAGAAACATGTGGTCTGACCTGCACCACGGCGCAGATTAGAGTGATGCCAATCCAAGACGGACTCGAGTTTTGCTCTGGTAAATAAGTCGGCTGGATACCTATAATAAACATATATGTGTGTGTGTGTGTGTGTGTGTGAGAGAGAGAGAGAGAGAGAGAGAGAGAGAGAGAGAAGAGAGAGAGAAAACAAGTAAGTAATAAAATGATGAGTTGAGACCATGAATCATCTTGTATCCCAAATCAGAAACATAATATTTTCTATATATACAGTACAGACTAGAGAAAGAGAGAAGGGAAAGGCAACGCACCAGTGATGTGGAACCCCGGGGAAGACGGTGGCGAGATACCTCAGAATGGCATGACTTTCAAAGAGTTTGAATCTTCCATCGACGATTGTTGGGACCTGCGCCATGGGGTTGATTTCTACGCAAGGAAATAATACTACATACAGTCAGTATATAGATAGATAGATAGATAGATAGATAGATAGAGAGTGGTCAGTCAGTTGACTAGTACATACAGTGAAAACAAGAAAACAAGAAATCAAGAAAGAAGGAAATCAAGAAAGAAAGAAAGAAATTACTGGTGAACTCTGGTGCGCGGTGTTGTCCCTTGGCGAGATCCACGGTGAGCTCCTGGAAGTCGATCCGGTTGACCTTGCACAAGATGATGATGGCGCGCGACGGCTGCGACAGCCGGTCCGCGTACACCTTCAGCACCGCCGCCATCGCCACCCCCTTTTCTGCCGGGCTCTGCTCTACCTCTGCTCTGCTCTGCCTGCTTAGGGAAGATAAGACAAGACAAGAAAAAAGAGGAGGAAGAAGAAGATGATAGACGGCAGATCCCCTTCCTTCCTTCCTTGCCTTCACACGCATACCCTGACGTCATCACCATCTTCTCCCGTCCCACCCCATTCTTTTTTTTATACTACTCCTCTTGTTCACTTTTATAAAACCTTGAAGACATTTGAAACAATATGCAAAACAACGCATTTTGAGTTATCTGAAACAACCTGCAAAAATGAACAGAGGGAGTAGTACAAATGCCCGTGGGTCGCACCGGGTGATAAAAATGGCACAACCTGCTTCATGTCATTTTTTATATCCAATTTTAATAAATAAACTATCATAATAATGTTGAATGTGGAATTTTCCATATTTTTAATAAAAGTTAATGTTTTCATTCAAAATGTAACACATTTTGAAGAATAGTTACCATTTTTTGAAATTTGGACACTTTCAAACTATTTTTATGTGTTTAATTTTTGGGCATTTTTGTTTGGTGACTTTTACAAATAGTTGGTTGTTTCGGCTTGGCCCAAACAAAATAGTTAACATACACACAAGGACCCACGAACTCACCTTCCTACTCCTGCTCTAGTACTCCCTTGTGTTCTTCTTAAAAAAAGTACTTTCTTGTGTTCTACTTAAAAAAAATAGTACTCCCTTGTGCCCGCCGTGAGGGCACTTCCTTATCTTTCCTCGTTCTCCAATACTCCCTTGTGTGCCGCCGCCGCCGTTCAAGGCCATCGCCGCCACCGGCGGCAAGGCGAGAGCTATTGCGGGTAGAACCGCTTGCGTCTGGCGCACCTAAGCCATAGCCTAAGTTGTGGCATCTGCTCCACGTTGTTGTTCCTCGCCTAACAACATCGCGTGCGGGGGCGGTCAACTGTTACCCTGAGATACAGTAGGAGCTTGTGCAGACTCACTTGAAGTTTGGACCTGGATGCAAGCTCTTTTCGGAAGTTCATTATAATAAGTTCTGTTATATAATTTACATTTTCAGTTATTGATAAAGTAAATATGCTCGTGCGTTGCAACAGGAGAAACAAATCAAAAACTTGCCAATAATTCTTTCTGCATGTAGCGAAGCCCTACCAAAATCTCAACATTGTCTAGACCTTCCAAACACCCACTTCCTATTTCAAACTCATTTGAATTAAATTCAAATGCTTCCATACATGACTATTTCCATTTTCCTGGATCAATCTCACTTTTTTCCTGGAAAATAACCCCTTGTCCAAACTCTCCTAGCCCTCTCTTTCTTTCTCTAAATCTCTATTTTTTATTCTTCAAAAATATCTCTATTCTTTAGTTTATAGAAAGAGAGAGAATCTTCCAGCCGAGCCCACGAACTCACCTTCCTACTCCTGCTCTAGTACTCCATTGTGTTCTTCTTTAAAAAAGTACTTCTTTGTGTTCTACTTAAAAAATTTGTACTCCCTTGTGTTCTTCTTAAAAAAAAAGTACTTCATTGTGTTCTACTTAAAAAAAATAGTACTCCCTTGTGCGCCGCCGTGAGGGCACTTCCTTATCTTTCCTCATTCTCCAATACTCCCTTGTGTGCCGCCGCCGCCCCGCGTAGATGATTTACACAAGGTGAGATGCGGTCTGCCGTTCGAGGCCATCGCCGCCACCGGCGGCAAGGCGAGAGCTATTGCGGGTAGAACCGCTTGCGTCTGGTGCACCTAAGCCCTAGGCTAAGTTGTGGCAGCTGCTCCACATCGTTGTTGCTCGCCTAACAACATCGCGTGCGGGGGCGGTCAATTGTTACCCTGAGATACAGTAGGAGCTTGTGCAGACTCACTTGAAGTTTGGACCTCGATGCAAGCTCTTTTCGGAAGTTCATTACAATAAGTTCTGTTATATAATTTACATTTTCAGTTATTGATAAAGTAAATATGCTCGCGCGTTGCAACAGGAGAAACAAATCAAAAACTTGCCAATAATTCTTTCTGCATGTAGCGAAGCCCTACCAAAATCTCAACATTGTCTAGACCTTCCAAACACCCACTTCCTATTTCAAACTCATTTGAATTAAATTCAAATGCTTCCATACATGACTATTTCCATTTTCCTGGATCAATCTCATTTTTTTCCTGGAAAATAACCCCATGTCCAAACTCTCCTAGCCCTTTCTTTCTTTCTCTAAATCTCTATTTTTTATTCTTCAAAAATATCTCTATTCTTTAGTTTATAGAAAGAGAGAGAATCTTCCAGCCGAGCCCACGAACTCACCTTCCTACTCCTGCTCTAGTACTCCATTGTGTTCTTCTTAAAAAAAGTACTTCTTTGTGTTCTACTTAAAAAAATTTGTACTCCCTTGTGTTCTTCTTAAAAAAAGTACTTCCTTGTGTTCTACTTAAAAAAATAGTACTCCCTTGTGCGCCGCCGTGAGGGCACTTCCTTATCTTTCCTCATTCTCCAATACTCCCTTGTGTGCCGCCGCCGCCCCGCGTAGATGATTTACACAAGGTGAGATGCGGTCTGCCGTTCGAGGCCATCGCCGCCACCGGCGGCAAGGCGAGAGCTATTGCGGGTAGAACCGCTTGCGTCTGGCGCACCTAAGCCCTAGGCTAAGTTGTGGCAGCTGCTCCACATCGTTGTTCCTCGCCTAACAACATCGCGTGCGGGGGCGGTCAACTGTTACCCTGAGATACAGTAGGAGCTTGTGCAGACTCACTTGAAGTTTGGACCTCGATGCAAGCTCTTTTCAGAAGTTCATTACAATAAGTTCTGTTATATAATTTACATTTTCAGTTATTGATAAAGTAAATATG